TTTAAGATGGTGATATTCAGCATTCTGGGTACCCCATAAACAGTGATCCATGTCTATTTTGTCACATCCAGTTTATCTGTTTCTTTATGTCAAAGCAGCCAGAATTGGAGCAGAAGGAACCAAATAAATCAGCTCAGAAACAGGCCAACGTGTACATCTGTCCGCTTATTTTTTGTGTTTGTAGCAATTGTGATAGTTCTTGATGCACAGAAACCACTTCACTAACATTTCTGCTGCCTGTTATCCTTCAGCAGCAGCTGTGTTGTGCATGAACACTTTCATCCGAGTCTGTGTCTGAACCTGAGTGCGTTCATATTCTCTATGGACTTTTGAGTTGAACAAGGCAGAAATCAGATGTATTTCAACTGGAGGAACAAACTCTTTGTCCTCCAGTGTGCCATGGATTTGTTTTTTATTTCCACAGTCTGCTCTTTGTTCTTGTAAATGTTTCCTCATGTGACTACTTGTCCAAATTTGATCCGGTTAACATTTTACATCTGAACGGTTGTCATGAAATTATATCAGATTTGATAACAGAAGGCTAACAAGTACTCCTGATCTGTCATAAGCTCTAGCTTCTTTGTAGTAATGTTCTGTTATATTTATTCCCAAATTATGCCCATCTGTGCTTAGATTTTCTTTAAAGGATGTGGCTTAACATTTGACTTAACTCACCTGATGAAATATTCTCAAACAGGAAAATTAAGTTTTAACGTGAGAAACACTCCTTTTCTAATTAAACGAGGAACAAAATCTAAGTGGTTAAAGGCAGGAGTGTATCATGTAAAATAGGCTTTACAAGTAGATACAACATTACATTACAATCCCTAAATAATTTAAGCAGTTCAGGCACATCTTGAACAATTTTACACGTTCTGACTCTGAAGCACAGCTGAGATCAGGTGGAAGGAGTCTCGGACATTTAATGCAGCTCACTGGGGCGAACAAAGGACGTCACGCCACATTGTACCCTGAGAGGTTAAGCTTCTACAGGACACTTTTTTCCACCATAAACATGTGAACTCATCCTGCATGAGGTCAAACCTTTACTCAACCAAAGGGTGAAATGGAAGACGTGATGTTTTCCCAAAGTAATTTGAGTTTTTATCCAGTGTTTCAGCTGGATGGTTTAGAGACTGGTGAGATTCTCTCATGTCTCAATTGATCCAGGTGCTATTACATATTCTAAATACCAGGTTTTGATTTATATTCTGGTGTCAAATGTTGACCAGAAGTGGCTAAATGAATAATAACCAGTGCTTATTTCCACAAATGACAGGGGTCACACTTCAAGGTAAAAGTTTGAAATGACCACATTTCATAAATGGTTATGGAAAGTTTAGTTCCTCTAATCTATAGTATTAAAGTTTCAGGCAGTACTTAGTTGGGTTTTTAACACTATAAAAAAGTTATGCTGGACGACACAAGAAAGCACAAACAATTAAATCATTTGTTTCATACCAATTATTTAGTTTTTTTCCATTTGTCTTCTGGTTCATGTTCATGTTTGTGTTGAATTAAATAAGTTAATTTCCATCCATCCATTCATTTTCTATAACACTTATTCCCACTAGAGTCACATGGTGGCTGGGGCCTATCCCAGCTGTCGTAATCATTTTAATGATGAAAAAGAGCAGTGTTCTTAAACCTTAATCCTCCAGTGACACTCAGCTTTACAGTAGCTTTAATTTGAAGAATAAAACATAAAGGTAATGGGTTGTTAAAGGAAGGTTACACCCGAGCGTCTGCAGCTGAGAGTGAAGTTACTTTAAGCTTTTGAGATCCCAGCGTTGCATCACTTGGGAGCAAAACATCCTGACGGCAAAAGCCGTTGTTCTGGTGCTGCTTAAAGAGATAAAGCCCCCATGAGCCGGGCCAAAGAGGCAGAGACAGAAACGCAAAATAGACGAGCCGGGGAGCCTGGCGGCAATTTGGTCCGTGTGTATGTTTCGCTCTCTAACTCCACATGTCAAATGGGTTTGACCTGCTCTCCACTCTGGAGGCCAGGAGTTCCCTTTCTTCCCGGCCCTTAATTTCCAGCCGAGCAGAGTGTGTTTTTCTGCTCAGCTTTAGGGGATGATTCAGTGGGTCTGCTGTGGTTTACCCTCAGCAGGATTAGAGCTGGAAGGCTTCTTATTATCTGCTCTCGTTTGAGCTCAGTTGTCTGTTAGGAAGAGCAGTGGAGCTTAAGACAAATTACCCCCCCAGAGGCTTCTGGGTGGCACAGCTCCATCTTGGAAATAGGGTAAATGGGAAGGAGATGGAAGCTGTGAGGGGCATCAGTGTCAGTGCGAGGTCGAAGCGGCTGTTTGGGTTTAATTTATTCAGCATGTCGAGGAGGAAAGTCAACACGATATGCTGACAAATGCTTTTGACAAGAAGTTTAAGTCTTCTTTTTTTTCAGTTTTAAAGCTTTGACAGACTTTGGTTTCACATTAAAAAGTCTCAGCAGGTTTTCATGGGATATTTTATTTTCGACTCTTCATGTCTCAGCCAGATTCACATTAGTGCCGCACAGAAGAACTGCCTTTCTTTTATTTTTCTCTTAGCTATCCAGAAGCATATTTTCAAGAGATTTTAACAAATTCATCTAAACAATTACATAAATCTATGTTCCATCATCAGTCTGACACAGAGGTAGCCCTTGTGATGTTTCAATTTTTGATCAATTCTTACAAATATTAACTTTTTATCATTTACAAAGAGCTGTAGAGAAATACTCGACTGTATTTGGGCTAAAGTGCATATTAAATAATCACAGCACTTTATCTTGCCAATATATAAGCCTTCCTGGTTGGGGCTCGTTCATACTGTCCCCAAATGAGGAGCTGTAACTGTGGTCTGAAAGGAAACCAAAACAAAGGAAGGTGTGTGTTTAAGAATATCTAATAATTTTGAAGATATGTTAATTTTTCAGTCATCTGTAATCCCTAGAGTCCATAAAAATCACATAAACGGACTGTAATTACCCAAGATTTTAAGTACTGATAAGGAAACTGGGATATGATGCAAGATGGCTTGGGAAATGGCCTTTATGAGGCAGCTAAAACAAAGACAAATAAGAGAAAACCCATGGTGTGTAATTGGAGAGCTCTGTATGGAGAGGCTGTGAATCCGTTAAAGTGAAAATTTAAATGTTCCATTCTCATCCACTGTGCAATTTCACTCTTGAATGCCACCCAGCATGTAGGCCGGAGTCACTGATTTCATAGTTATTTCTTCATTATTTGTCATGACGGAGAAATGAAAATTCAAAGTCATGAAAAATGCCTCGTGGCTGAGATCCCCCTCCTCTCACATTTTTACCTTCTCTTTTTCTTTGCTGCTTTGTTTCCTTTCCTCTCAGTTCTATAGTTTTGATTGACATAAGCAATTAAGTGGGAAATCTTTTTAAAAACTGATTGATTCCCTAAGGCAATCATTCCATTTTGAAATGCAAACGTTACAGTGAAAGCAATGACATGGAAGGAATTTTGCTCTTAGGCTGTGGGTTGGGGTGCCGCAGGTGGTGGGTGGGAAAAGCTTTTAATCAATGCCGAGCATTAACGCCGCAAAACAAAATAAGTCAAGCAAGTTAAGCACTTTGAGGGGAACTGTAATGAAAACCAAATAACACTTTAGAGGACAATTTAGCATATGATTGTAATTTTAAATAGCTATTTTATCTTTTCAAGGACCTGCTTTTCCGTTATGCTTCAGGGGACCACATTAGGCTCCCCGGCGCTCAAAGAGGCTGCTTGTTATTCCAAAGGAGGAGGAGAAAAAGTTCAGTCTTTTTTTTTCTTTCCATATATCCGTAGACTGCTTCTAAAAGCAGTTTTCGTGGTTTATGATGAACTCAGAGAGGTGAAACTTCCATAACGAATAAACAACTACATGAAAAAAAAAATAGGATGCATTTCTTTTAGCAGATCTTTTTATTAACAAGAATACAAAATTATCTACATTCACATACTACTTACTGCAGTATGGCTGACCACATTGATTTCAAGTAACTCCACCTAATTTATTATCAAAATCCTCTCTCCTCTTTTGGTGTTTTTTGCTCCTTTCAAAATGTCCTTTTTACATTTGGCACTTGATGCAGGTTATCAGAGTCTCTGTAGTCCACAGGATCAGAGGACTGAGCCACATTTGTGTGGTGGCAGAAAACCAACACAGCACCTCAAACTGAACAGATCGAGCCTCGTTGCCGTCGGGCTCCGGTTGGCACGGTGGTGGAATCTGAAAGGAAAGGCGACGCGGTCACGTGCGCGTCCATGTGCAGTTTCTTTTTTTTTTCTTTAAAAGTAAGATACATCCATCTAACCCTTGTGTGGGAGACGGTCTCATGTTTGAGGGCGAAATTTTGAACTTACAATACAAAGAGCTCAAATGATAAACAATAATACAGTAAATACTCTGCAGGCCCACATGGGGTCACAACGTCTGCTGTTCATGTCGAGCGACATTTAACAAGCACTGAAAGCTTCTTTCTTGACGTGAAGAGCAGTGAAACCATGTATGTTACAAATTCACGTGATCAAACTTCCTCACACAGCCGCTGCTTTCAGTGAAGTGTCGTTTTGAAATAGCCAAATAACTTAGGAAAACATAAATACAGCACGTGAAACGAGGAAATAAATTAATACCAAAAAACACAACTGCAGCAGCAGCAGCCACCTCTAGGTTTATTTTCCTGTGCCGCAGCACACAGATGATGTGGTTGATCAGTCTGGTTTTTGTTTCTCTTTCCGGCACAAATCTCTTCAGAAAGCTCAAAATGGAGCTGGGATGTCCCTTAAAGCCACTGTGAGGGGGTGGGGGTTAAAACCAGCTGCTGTGGGCGTGGATCTTCAAGACTGCCGAGAATTGAGCATTTGGCGGGAATTCTAACAGTCATGGATGCGGTGTTCGCTCATCCTGGCTTTGCAATCCGAGAGAGCCGCCACTCAAGCGTGGTTTAGTCCTTCTCCTCCTTGCTTTTGTGTCGCTGGTTGAAAAAAAAAAGTTTGGCTTCCCTACCACATGGGAGGGCTGTTTGTCTCCAGGACGCCGTACATCTCAGCGAGCTTTTTGAAGCGGGGGCCCCAGTCGTTCAGGTAGTCGTACTCGTGGTCGGTGTTCGACGTTCCGGAGTGGAGGGAGCTCAGCGACTCCGCCACCGATCCCTCCCCCTCGTAGGCGTAGGTCTGCAGGGAGTCGTACGGGGGGGCGCAGGGGTCCATGTCGGCCTCCAGGAGCTTGGCCAGCACGTACCCGTGGACGTTGCTGTCCCCGCCGCCGCCCACGACGGCCGCCTGCGGCACGTAACGGGACAGGCTCTCGATCTCCGGCAGCATGTCCTGCCGCATCTTGCTGAGGGGGTGGTGCACCTCGCGGGGGTTCCACATGGCGGCGATGTCGAAGGCCTCCGTGTCCTCCTCGCCGCCGCCTTCGTCGTCGTAGCGCACGATGTTCTCGTGCACGTTTTCCTCCTCGTCGCACAGGTAGGGCTTCTTGCGATGTGTCCGCAGAGACAGCATGAGCAGAATCATCACTATTGGAGAGAAAAAATAAAGAATATGAGCGCGAAAGAAACATCTCCCATCTTTATTTTCGATGATCGTACTCAAATTGAGTGGAGAAAAGGGTACAACACAGATCGAGTCCAATACCAGGACTTAATAGCTGATCGTGGAGTAGAAGTCAAACTCTTTTGTCTTAGTGACTCGATCAGTTCTTGATCAACAGGTGTGGCTGAACTCAGAGAAACTTTCTATTCATGTAGGGCCTGTTGTGCGACACTCCGGGGTTCTCTACAGACTACAGAGTTCAGAAAAACTACAAATTTTGCTGCTCCATTTAGAGCTTGTCTGTTCCATGAAAAGGAACATGAGCGTTTACCCACCCAGCAGGACGAAGATGCAGGCCAGGATGGCGATGAGCGCCCCTTTGCTGAGGCTGGCCGGCAGGCTGTAGGCCTCGGCGTTGCACGACATGACGTTGCCCTCGTGGTCGCAGCTGCACACGCGGATGGTCAGAATGCTGGTGCTGGTCTGGACCGGCTGCTCGCCGTCAGAGACGAAGATCGGCAGGTAGAAGATGGTCTGGTCGTGCTGGGACCAGCCGCCGCGTCTCGTCAGGATCCAGGCTGTGTTGTCTGTAGACAAGAACAGGTCAGTTAAGAGTAGGGATGGTGTGCAGAGATACAACTGCTTCACGGTTGAGAAGTAACAAGAGCTGAATCTTAGCATGATGATGAGAGGAGGCATAAACAGCTATTTAACAAAACTAAAGCTTCATCTAACACATTATTGCACAGGATGGACGGGGACACTGCTTTATGCCAAGACACCTTCACACTGCTGGCTTTTATAGGAAACATTGACATTTACAGTGATGCTCGCAAGTTCAGGTCTTTTACAGTACTTAAAGAATAAAAAACCTACATTTAGGACCACAATAAGGAAATTGTATCAGGATTTATTTCACAAATCAGCTGGGGAAATGGGAACAATTTATGGCTTTGTGAGAGCACAGCACTGGTTAACCACTTGAGTTTCAAAAAAGTCTAAAGAAAAACCATCAGAAAGCCCAGAGAACTTATTACTGTGTTCCACTTTGAAAAGAAAGTCTTTGCTTTTGTCCTGCTGCCTGTTTTCCTTGTCATTGAACGTTTATATAAATTCAAGATTAATTCAGTTGTGTTATTTTCACTGACAAGGCTCTACTTGTGTTTCAACACTGACCTTAGCCGCTCTAACTTAGTAAATCCATGTTTTCTAACTTGGTGCAAACAGATGGATAATTTTTGGACTTTCTACATAGTGGAGCTGTTATCACCTACCCTGGTTGTCTCTCAGAGTGAAGTTGGGGTTGTTGGCGGCCTCTGGTGCGAGGCTGTAGTAGAAGCGCTGTCCGCCCAGCGGCTCATCCGGATCCACAGCCGTCACAGTTTGGATCAGCTGGAATATATGGACGGACATACTCAGATTTTCCACCTACTGATAAATAGTATATACTTCTTTAAGACTAAACAAGATCAATCAAACTTCAACGTTCAACTATAACTCAATGGTCTCTGAGATGAAAAGGATAACAATGTGTATGAACAGATGAACGAAGGAATTATGGTAGCAAATATATCTGGATTCTTTTTAAACAACAAAACGGAATGTCTGGTTGTAAGAATAGCTCCATCCTGGATGATTTAACAACCCCCTTTCCTGCATTCACAACGGAATGCAGAACATCTTTCACATATTTAATGTCAGACAATCTCTTGAAAAATATGAGCTCTTTTTGAATTTTAAACAGGTTACAATTGGGACAGGGGAAAAAGAAGCACTTCAGAGAGGCAGAGTCTCTCCGAGGTAAAGAGCTACAGGGGTCTTTTATAAAAAGACTCTGGATTTTTATTTTCTTCTACATTTTTTCAAGATATCAAAGTTAATTTTATATCTTGACAGATACATCAGAACCTGAACGTTATGGCTGCTGCCTTCTCCAGACTTTACTGCCATCAGTTACATTTTACTTGGAACACAACAGCGAAAATCATCATCAGTAATTTCTTTAAGAACTAAATGCATTTTAAAGTAGCACTTCATTTCCATAACTTTATACAATGGCTTAATGCAAAATTTCCTTGAAAATTTTGTAAAGAGAACTCCTGCATTTTCCTTGTTTGTACCTGTCCAGCTTTGGCGTTTTCACACACATACGTCTCCAGGTAGTGCGTCAGTGAGGGTGGATTGTCATTCACGTCCAGGACTTTCACGGCCACAGAGACACTGGAAATCTGCGAGGGGTTACCTGCAAGAAAATACACAGATGTAAGCAAATAAATGACTTTACTTCAGCTGCTCTGCTACTCATTTAATCTCTTCCTCTCATTCGCAGCGATCGGGGGGCTCACCGGGGCTCCACACAGTCACGTCACAATTCTATTATTCTTCATTACGGCCAGCAATTTGCATACCTTAACCAGCTGTGTAATGGGCTGTAGAAACACAATTAGGGGGCAGTAACTACTTTCTCAGCGTTCATCACATGATCGATCAGTCGGTGGCGTGACTTTGGCTCTAGAGGGCAAAGCTCCATGCCGTCCTGCTTTACTTTCGTACCCGGAGGAAACGAGGTGCCCCCCCTTTACTCAGACTTAAGTGTTTTAATGAAACGGTGCAAACGAGAGTTAAAGCAAAAAAGGAAGCCGCTCCATTTAAACATGGATGTTAACTTGATGGATGGATGTTAAGTTCGAAAAACAAAAAAGGAAGATATTTTACTTAATTTTTAAAGAAAAAATAAATAAATATGGAAATACAGTTCTTCTGATAAAATTGTTTAAAATATCTAAATTGTAACCCAACCGTGAAGACATCACTAGATCTCTAAAAAGGTGATAATTTTCAGATTCAATTGTTTTTGTTTGCTTTGGTGCTTTTTAAAGTAAAACTGGACCCTTTAATATCTAAGACCACTTTGAAAAACCTTTAAGCCTAACACCCGGCAGCTTCTGAAATCCAAAAACTTCAGGATAAACAAGCCTACAAGTCATCTTTTAAGCTTTATTTTCTTCTCTTTCATCACCCTGTTATAAAACAGTAACAAACCAAAAAAAACAACAGCTTCATAATTAAAATGTAAAACTGCAACTTCACGCTGAGTTTGCGGGAAAACTTCAGCTGTTTGTTTGCTTTTGCGTCTCAAGCTTTTGTTCCGGCTCATTTCCATTTTCCACACCGCCTTTGTGTTGTTTCCTCTGCCTCACCACGCTCTGCATCCCTTAGCCTTCCTACCTGTGCCCTCTCCGGCTCCGTCACATCTTTTAATTAGCCACCACGAGGGAAGTTATTTCATTAGTCATTAATTCCATTACCGCCTCCTTTAAGGTGTGTCGACCAAACAGAGGCACAAACAGACAAACAAAGCGAACGGAGGCAGGATGAAGGTGACTTTGAGTGCTGCCGGCTGTGTGAGTTCTGCAGGACGCCTCCAGCTCAGAATTGCATAACAGCGGGATGCTCTGGTTCTGCCGGTCTGCCATAAACCCTTCTCATGAATCCCTGTCTTATTGAGTCATTTCTGTTTGTAAACCATCATTCAAAATAACTTTCTTGAGTAATTGTTTGGCTTTAATTTAAACTTTATGGTGCTGTGGGTCAAATATTGGTGTTTAATTTGCATTTTTTAATCCTTTTCAGGAGAGTAAGTTTTGAATGAAACACAAGTGAATTGAGATAGTTAGAGATTGTAGTTTGTGCAAGTTCTTTCTTACTCTGAAAGCATTAGGTTTGGCCCCAGTCCTTAATACTTGAGTTGCCTCACTATTGATTGTTCTGGCTTTAGTCACCATATTGGGAAACATCTGCCAGCTTTGCTGGCACAAATTCAAATTTCAGAGTCTGTTTTGCAACTTTAAATCTATGTATTATCGTTGTGTCATGTTATTTTTAGAAATGTGTTGAAACCAGAACATTTCAAAACGAAATATGACAAATAATATAAAAACTAAAAAAAAAAAAAAGGTTCTTGGATGAAACTTACTCATCTCCATGGCAAGGATGGTGATGTTGTGCCAGCTGCTCTCTTCTCGGTCCAGCGAACGCACAGTCATGAGTGACCCGGTGGTCAGTTCGATGTAGAAGAACTTCTCTGGGTCGCTGGACCTCTCGATGGAGTACCTGGTGGCACAAGCCGAGTTGGTACATGAATAAAGAGCATGTTTGGGAGTTCTGGGTTGCTTTTAATCCTATCCTATCAGCACGTGTGCTGCACGTGTGTCGGCAACTCCTGCGAGAGGAAGCAGCAGCTCCAGATTTAAAGGTTTTGTCAGAGATATCTGTCGCCTGTGGCAAACAGACACAGTGGGGGGACACAAATTACAATATGGCCCCTATGGCAAGTCGTCAAAAAGCATCATATATGAAGCAATCAAGTATTGCCTGATACACATTTAGTGTTTCAAATATTAATTCTGACATGTTTGCTTATTTAGGAAAATGTCTTCCTGATGAGGCAGTGGATTAAATTACAATAACACCAATGACCACTAGTTCAAACATCTAAAAATATCAGAAGTTCTGGGATTGCTGCAAGATTTGTTTTGGCAGTGCAGACATAAGACTTTCATATATTAATGTTTTGATTACTGCTTTTCCCTGTTGCCCAGTGTGGAGCCTAATGAGAAACGAAAAGAGATTCTTAATATTTCATTTGACTGGCACGCTTTAAGCCGAGCTTGTGTTGATTCAGTGCTCCTTGCTGATAAATACGCCTACATGATATCAGTCTTGAGATGTCGAAAATGGCACGAACGTTTAAGGAGCAGCAGCTTTAACATCTTCACCAACGTGAGAAATGTGGGGCTGACACAGAGGATGTTTCATAAACGGCTTGTGTTAAAATGACATATTAGTGTCTGTGTGTGTGTGGGCTTGTTAGCGCTATGTGTTTAGGACCGTCGTGACTGGCACATCGGCCGCCGGCGAGGCCCTCCCTGAAGGATCTCTATTAATATCACTCGTCCACAGAAGTGTGTGTCGGGGCTCAGATATATCTGCCAGTCATACTGCAGGCGGTCAAGGACAGAAAGATGTGGGACGGAAACGAGGCTGACGGAGGAAGTGAGGGTCACCTGCCTCTTGTTGTTATCTGTCAGCTGCTGTTTACTGACTCCTCAGCTGTCTAAGCACACGCCACCACTTCCTTACCCTCCAGAATTTTTAAAAATCTCTCCAGAAATTTCAGCGGGATTGAGATGGGACATTTAGCAGCACTTTAATCTCTTCTTTCTATCCTTTGACAGAAACTTTATGCAAATTATTTTGTAGGGATGTGTCAAGAAAATGTGTCAAGAGAAGGTGGTGGCATGCCTTTTTTTTTCTTTTGTTGCTTTTATCTTTCTGCATATTTTATCATCCTGTTTTTTCAGTACTGGATTACTATTATTCTCTTTCCCCAAAAGCTGTCTGAAAAGCCTCCAGCTGACCCAAAATGCTGACATGATTTGTCCACTTTCAACTTTTCTTCATTGGCTCCCCCTTTAAATAGAGAATAGAATTGTTTTCTTAACATGTAAAGCTCTGAATGAGCAGTTCCATCATATCCCAACGAGCTCATAGTTGGATATTTTACAGGAGAGCTCTTTGTTCTCAGACTGCAGGTCTACTTGTGGTTCCTGAGTTTTCTAAAAGCAGAATGGGAGGCAGATCCTTCAGTTATCAGGCCCCTCTCTGTGGAACAAGCTGCCAGTTTGGGTTCAGGGAGCAAAGCCCCTCTCTACCTTAAAGATTAGGCTTTAAACTTTCCTTTTTGGTAAAGTTTATAGTTAGGGATGGCTCAGGTGACCCTGAAACATCACTTCGCTTTGCTGCTATAGGCCCAGACTGCTAGGGGAGTTCCCATCATGCACCTCTCCTCCCTCTGCTCTCTTTTTGGCTCAGATGAAGGTGTATTTCTGTTCAAAAGGGATTTTTTTCTTTCTACGGCGCACACTCAGGACGGGGGTTTGGATCAAAGGGAGGTTTCAATGCTATCTGTTGGTTTCCTTAGCAAGGCTTGACATTTATTTTCTCAAAAATTCACACAGTATGAATAATATCTTTGAAGTTTTGGATTTATAACGAGGATTAATGTGACAAAAAACATGGATGACTCCAAAAGCAAATTTAGCAGCGAAGTAACACAAGTCTTCAATCGTCATCATCATCATCATCCTCTTCTGCGCTGCTTTTAGTCCTAATCATAGAGACAGCTGGGGCGAGCAGTGGCCAGTCCCTTCAGATGATTAATGGTGTGATTAAAAGATTTGATTTCTAATTAGTTCATGAGTGGTGAAGCCTGGTTACTGAACCTACCACACATCTGTTCTGCTACAGAACAAAATATGCTTGTGGCAAAAACCTGGGACAGACCACACCTTGGCAGATTTTTACTATCTATTTTTTTGTATATACAAAAAACAGAAAAAGAAAAGAATATCTGATCAATCTATTTTTGTTAAACACACCACACACATTTTTTTAGATGATATTGAGGGGGGAAAATATCAAATCAGCTTTCATTAATTTTGCAAAGATGAAGGTGCTGCTCTGGTTTCTGTTTGAGGCTTCAGTCCAGCTGCAAATGCTCATTCTGGAAATGAGTTCTTCAATTATGTCACAGAGCTGCAGCCAGCTGTGACCAGTGGTGTTGTGACGCCGCCCTCTGCTGGTCAGCACCTAACATCGCATCATGCTGGATTTGGTGATAATTCATTCTGAAATAGTAAAACCACCTGAATGTTGCTTCTACTCTTTTGATAGAACCTGTTACTGAAATATACAAATATCTGATAAGAATAGGTACATATAGGTACAACATTTTTCAATGTTCCCTCCCCAGGTGGTATATTCGACATAATGGGAAATAAATCAGTGTTCGCTCCTCATTTACTTTGACACAACGGCTCCTCCTACTTCCACTTCTGATGACTTCTAATAAAGCATAGAGCTCAGAATTAAAGAGAAACACTCAAGTTGGCCATGTGATTTTTAAGCAGGAAGCCCAGAAATACCCCTTGGGCTGAAGAACTGAATTCTATCTTCTGCCTGTAACTTTTTCTGCCAATCAGCTGTAAGTTGATGTTAGATTTCTGAGGTGCTTTACTGCACCTGATTGAGCTTAATGTGCCACAAGTTATGCATCCTGTTTGTGAACAATGTAGGCCCTGGAAAGATTCATCCACATGTTTCATAGTTGTAAAGATCGTGGAGCACATCTGTAACTAAACTGAATGCCCTCCTCCTTATGAAGGGAATTTGGGGAACACTTGTTGTCCTCTGTTAAAACCTGCTGAGTGGTTCTCCCTCACCTCACGGTGTTGTTGGCGGCATCCGGATCTCGTGCCGACACCATCTTCACCACCGTGCCAATCTCTGCATCCTCAGGAACCTCTACGTAGTACGCTGTGGAGCCGAACAGTGGGGGCTCATCCACATCCTCCACGCTCACGTGCACGATGGTGACGTCCTTAAAGGGCCCACGGTGGCTGAAGGCTGGATCCAGATTGATGTTCACTCCCTCCACCTTCAGGGTGTAGCTGGGCTTGCTCTCGAAGTCCAGCGGCTGGTGCAAGTATGCAGGAAACAGTGAATGGACTTCATTCGCTTTTTGAACAAGCTCTGATGCCGAATTCTGAGCCAAACCAGCCAAATATGTAGAATTCTTAAGGGAATAAAATTCTATGATGGACGAGCTTTAAATGGTTCACTTAACAAACAAATATTTTAAGTTTCTAATTGAAAATGATGGGACAATATGAGAAAGGCATGGTTTCTGTTGTTTCTGTTTCTGTTTCATGAGCTGAATTGTTTTCTCACTGTCACAATTACATTTCAGGAAGTAAACTGTTGGTCCAGTTTCTTCTTCCGCTATTGGAGGTGCAAAATGAAGTTTTCTAATAGAAAAGATATGGCCCTGAAGGCATCATGTTTTGCTTTAAAGTCTCTTTATGTTTCCATGTGTTGATGCTGCCATGGCAAAGGCACTAATACAACCCCATACCATCACAAATTCTAGTTAAACGGGATGAGCTCTTTGGTCCATTCAGTCATATGAGACGTTGACCTTTCATTTTATAACCATGGCAACAAATAAAAAACAAATCTCTTCCTCATTACTATCCTAAATAATCCCAATTTATTTTGTACTCTTTTGCAGATCTGAAATGCATAAGTGAATCTTTGTAGACACTTTTAGGACCTCAGGGTATGTCTGGATGTCTAGTGTGTTTGCTTCAATACCTTTTTCACAGTGATGATGCCGAACAGGTTTGTGGGTTCTGTGCTGATGTCAAAGGTGTCCCTCCCGTCTCCATCTATGATGCTGTATTTCATTTCAGCGTTGACTCCGATGTCCCTGTCCTTGGCCCAGATTCGACCCACCGCTGAACCCACTGGAGCAGTCTCCAGCACGCTCATCTGATAGAGCCCTGAGAAAACGAACAGCAGGGATCATTTAAAAATTTCACCACCCACCCCTCTAGATGGAGCCAAAGCTCTTCTGTCACCAGCAAAGCTGCTCCTCGCTCTCCAAATCGCATTTCATCTCTAATAAATGTCTCCACAAACGCCCACATTTGGGTTATATACAGTCTCATGGGCCAGCTTGGATTTCATCTATCGTTTAACCTCAAAGAAGAGGTGACAGCTGTCCAATTTGTAGCATTCCCTGCAGTCTGACATTAAAAAAATGCCTGCGCATTGTGCTTAAAGCTCAGGAATCCCTGAGGCTCTTCACAACCAATCAGAGTTATGTCGGACTGATGGCGCTAATTGGTGAAGGACTGGTGATTGAGGTGGAAACGGCTGGCCGGTATTCTCTTTGTCTCAGACTGAGGCCACCAGTCAGCCAGCAGAGATGGCCACAGACAGCGAGGCGACCTCTGACTTCGGGAGGGGATTAATGAGAAAGGCAGAAATGGGGATAATCAAGGAGACAATATGGGGTGTCTGGTAGTTGGAAGGAGGCGAGGGACTTGAGATGGAGCCATGGGTGGAATGACTTGAACTGGTAGACAAAAAGAGTTCCACCCACGACTAAAGTCACTGAGTTTTAAAAGTGGAGCTATAAATTGGGGATTTGTGATGCGTTTAGATCACACATTTGGAGGTTTAACAACACAATGAGACCAAGCTTTGCTAAGATACAGTTTTTGGAGTTTAGAGTTAACTTGTGAATATACTAGGGTGCTGTCCTCATGTTTTCAACACAGTAGAGCATATGTGCAGCAAATACCCAAAGAAAAACTCAGGTTTGAAGCTTTTTCTATATCTGCTACTGTAGGAAAAAAAAACATCTGGAAGGAATAAAAAAGTGGCTTCTGGAAAGTTGAGCGTTGCTTACTCAGGTCAAACACGGGTGGGTTGTCGTTGACATCACTCAGAGTGATGTTGACGGTGGTGGTGCCAGCAAGCCCCCCCAGCTGCCCGCCCATGTCTTTGGCCTGGATGACCACTGTGTAGTTTTCTCTGGTCTCTCGGTCCATGTCTGCCAGGGACACGCGAACCACACCTGAGGAGAGAAGGTGGGAGGTAAGAAGGAGATTGCATGCTGAGCTAAAGGTCAGCGACAGACGACTGCTGACACGGATTAGGGTCATGTGTCAGAGCGGTGGAGCCCTGGAATGTCAACACTCTCAGATGAGCCACTTCCTCTTGTTTTTGTCTTCATGAAAGGCTTTAAGTGTCACACATACAAAACTGATCTGGTCAGAACTGTCTGTGCTGTCAAACAGCCTCAGGCGTTGATGATTATAACACATACTTTCTACAGGTTCTATAAGAAGGTGAACATCTGGATTTGGGTTTTTGGGCTCCAGTGTTTGTCAAATTTCTTGCTCCTCGATAGCCAGCAGGATCATCAAAATGTCATCAAAATACACCCGTGGTAAAAAAAAGAAAACTCCTCTCCTCCTCTTTCCAAATTCTCCTCTCAGTCTGGCTGCAAACCAAAACATTTTCTCTTGTTATAAATGTTTGATTCGTTTTGCAAAATAGTTTGGAAATGCTCTTCTCAAAGCTTCTGAAAATTCTATTATTGATGCTAGGACCTGGGTATTTCTCACCTCGAGCTCTTTTTATTCCCTAGTTTGAATTGCAGAGCACGAGAACCCTTAAAAAGGGTATTGTGGCTTACCTGGCAAATTTTATCAGTCTGATCTTACCCCTCCAAAGTATTCTGCGGCTTAGAGCCAAGAAAATGCAGTAACTGTTCAATAGGTAAAGGTAAAAAAAACAACTAACAAAACAAAGTTAATGAAATTTGAGAGAGCACTGAGATTGAAGAAATGAATCTCAACTGAAAGATCTATCAGCTTTCTATGGCCACAAAAGTGAAAATGCAGTAAATGCAACAGGTAACATACAACTCAATTGGTGTTTTCACTCTCTCTGGATCCCATCTGCATACTTCTATTCACGGACAGACTCCTGCGTAGCCAGAAAATCTACTACAGAATTCAGTGAAGGTCAAGCGATGCTTTGAGACGTACCGCACAAAACATGTTTTCCCGAAACATTGTTGCTGGAACCAATAAAATCCTCTGAGCTCTCCTTATTGTTAAGTCAGGGCTGATTATCAGCGGCAGAGCCAACCTGAATGCTTTACAAAAGGGCAAACATGGAAATGTAGCTGTCTTTAACAAAGAAAGGGAAGTTACAGAGTTGTGAAGGTTTGCCTAATGTGTATTTTTATTTACAGATTACCATTTTGAAACTCAAATTTTGTTTCACTCCTTTTTTATACTGCCTCTGCTCTTTTAGATCCAAAATATGGATTAATTTACGTTCAGTCAAAGGAATTAGGAGGTGGAAAATGATCATTTAGTCCATTTTTAAGGCTTCTGATGTGGTTGCAGTCAAGTCCTTGTGTAGAATCATTAACATGTTGAGACAGAAAAGCGACACACAGCTGGTACACTCTACAATTTCCTCTTTTGTTGAATTGGTTTCTACAGTAACCCAAGAGCTCAGCACAATGCATTTGGAGAAAAAAACACATGCAAATAGACCAAACACGTGCTAATTAAGAAAACATCCTCATTTATGGGAACACAGGTGCAGCATTAGGATAAAATAGCACCTGTTACCAGAGGAACAAACACAGCTTTGACACTTTTGATCCAATAGCATTATTTGCCCATGTAATTTTCTCATAAATGGGACTTACAATATAGCACAAGTGACTTTGATTTACAACATTTATTTATGACATCTTTATTAGCATTTCAGTAAGGTTCTATGATGAGTACCTACATCCAGAGAAGCCAGACACACAAGCAAGATGCCCTCTAAACAACTAATAAAAGATTCTGGAGATCTCAAAATTGATGATGCAAGATTATAAACAGCTACTGCAGAGTACAGAAGAGTGCTCAGAGAAAAAGGTAAACAGAGCAAGTTCCTTTGTGATGATGGGAAATGCGATACAATCCCCAAAGAAAGACACAGGAAAAAACATTTTGACCTCATCTGGGGAAAGACAAGAGACTAAAGATATGTTTAAAATGAAAGCAAATTAAATCAATCAGCATCTAATTACACACAAAGATTGATTCTTTGACTATTGACTCTCTTTTTTCTCACACAAATGGGTGGAAGAAATAGAACTCCTTGTAGTTCTAACTCAGTAAAGAAGGAGGAATCCAAAAGACATGATCAGGGAGACCTTTTTCTAAAAAAAAAAAATATTTAGGATGACATTTAGGACTTTGGTCAGTTAAGTGACTATATTGCATCCCAGCTCAGACCAGAAACAAATACCGAGAGCCATCATTTTAAGCACTGCCAGCAAACAAGTTTTTTTTAAGGATTTTGGAGTTTACAATAAATTCTTATCCCTGTCTCGGATGGTTAAATCCAAATGAACGCAGGGTTTTTCTATTTAAATTGACCATGTAACTCTTTATAAATGAGTGATTCTGCAACTGCTGTATCTTTAAAATGTACAATAGGAAAAGTTAATTTCAATATCAACATCCTTGTCTGGATAAGGAAAATTCTCACTAATCTTCTGAAAAAAACATCTTGTTCTCAAAGTTGTCCCATCAGCTTGTGTTACACCATAGAATATCGTCTTAATGCTTTTTTAATAAGCAAAGCACTCTGTAACATTTCCTTTTAGCCATTTGTACACTGTGATTTTGTTTGTTTCATTTATGTTTCTAGATTGTTTTATGCCAGTATGATGATGGTTTAATCATTTTAAACTAATTTGTATTTTTCAAATTAGGATTCCATCTTGGAAAGACATGTTTTAAAATAAAGCTGATTTTATTGAACCATTATGAATGGCACATATGCTCATTTTATTAACATACACACATGAATAGGAAGCAGTTCCCTCTTGCAACATCAGAATGATACATAAATAATTGAAAATCAAACAAGCATTGGTTAGTAATAGATTATGGAATTTAGACTATATTTAATTTAATCAAAAGGCAAGTTTCTCTAACCAGTCATTCACAACAGTAGACGTTGCTGCCTGTCCTCATTATCAACCATGTCACACTTTGAGTTTAGCACATCTTTTTTCTCAAGTGTCAGAAGTTTTAGTTGTTGCAAGTTGCAACCAAAGAGCAGCAGCTCTCAATTAAGTGTTTAGTTGTTTCATAGCAACACGGGGAACCGGATCGAGGGCTGGTTGGTAGTACACAGGGGACCAAAGTATGGATGGATAAAACCAGAAAGAAACAACTGCTGAGTGAAAGAGAGAAGGTGGGAAACATACAGTCACTGTGATAAAAGTGTAAATCCATAGAAAGTTCAACGACCTTTTAAGCCCATCTTACATCATCCATGCTTATTATACATTCATACTGAGCTCACGAAGTAGTCAGCCCATCTGGTGAAGTCTAAGTCCACCGCTTCTACATATGGAGGATAAAAATACTTTCTGCGGCCACAGAATGGAGGTTTTACTGCTTGAGTATTAACCATACCGGTCTTGGCGTCCACAGAGAAGTACGGTTGGCCCTCCAGGATGCTGTAGACCACACGAGCACTGTTTCCGTATGTGGGGTCGTCGGCATCCGTAGCAGTCAGCTGGATCACAGATGTTCCTGGGTAAGCACAGAGGCAGAAATGAGGCGCAGAAAGTACCAGTGGTTAAGGATAAGCATAAATTTGTGTGGAGTTTTCCATGTGTGTCTAAAAATTCACATTTAGCCTCCTTACTACAAAAGCAGCTTTATGAATACTGATGAAGTAGACTTAAGTTGAGCCTGTAGACAGTAGGATAGCTGCTTTTGTATATTTTGTTAGTAGCAGGCACAAATATAAATGTAGACTCATGACCTGGCCAGGACGTACCCCGCTGGGATAGGCTCCTGAACCCCAGTGACCCTAACTTCGAATGAATAAAAATGGATGGATAGAAGGTGCAATATCATTTCTGCTTGACTTCTGTTTACCTATTTTGGACATTTCTGGTACAGATGCCTGGTAGGGACCATCTAGAAACTTGGGCTCATTGTCATTGATGTCCTGGATCTTGACGATGAACTCGGATTCCGGCTCCAGTGGCCTATCTGTCAGGCGGTTGCGGGCCTGGGCACGAAGTATATACTGCGCCTTCACCTCCCGGTCCAGCCTCTGGATGGCGTGGATGTCGCCAGTGCTGTCATCAATGGTGAAGGTAGTGCCTGCACCTTCCCCAGTCAGGATGTACTTTATGGAGCCATCACCTTTATCCATGTCCGAGTGAAGCTGCAATTGTTACAGGAGTGCAAGTCAGCTTTAAAAATGTTTCAAGAATCTGTAGTTGGGGCAAAACATCATAGGAATTTCATATTTTTGCGGTAAAAATAAATTATTATCCTGTCATCTATTTCAGGAGGTTGGATTAGGTTGTTGGTTTAGGTGTAGCCATATACTTATTTTGATAAACAACATATTCACATTATAGTAAAAATGTTTGATTTAGGTTGGTAGTTTCTGGTAAGAAGACATTTTTATTCAAACTACACACAATAGGCTAACGATAGCCATGTTGATACACACAAAGGTGTTTATGAAAAAAATATATATACAGTCTTGCTTTGAGGGTGACCTGAAGTAGACCTCAGGGGGAAAGTGGGTACATGTATAACCTAATTCTGTAACAGCTAGTCTACATGTAATCAGAGCTTTATGCCCAATTGTCACGACAGACCCAGCAGTGCAATCAGAAGGCTTGTGTGGCCTGTAAGAGCAAATGTCGGCCTGTAGATATGCAATCAAGCATTTATTTTGTACTAAGAAGGTGTCTGCGTGTGATGAGTACTTATTACCATCACATTGGCAGAGTGAAATTAAATATCCCCATTGGTGTCCGTCTTGTTTATAATAAACAATAGTGAGAACACAGTTCTGCACTGTCTCAGAAAACATACTCTTTTTCAAAATGGTTGCTTCTGTTATTCATCAACTGTGCTCCTCAGTAAAATGATTGAGGCTGTTAAGCTGCTTTAAGCGTGCGGCCATATGGCTCATTGCTGTTTTGACCAATATAGCTCAACAGTTCCCCTCCCATTATTCTATAGCTGTATGTTTTTTTCACATTTTCCCCCTGCAATGCTCAGTTCAGCCTCAAATAGATTTTTTTTTTTTTAAATGCACAAATATGGGCGTCAGACTCATGTCTCACGGTGACACATTTGGGGTCAGAGATTCTGTTCGGCCTCATCCGCCCACTCCTGGTCTTCACCCCCACCTCTCCTCTGAGGCGTTTTGAAATGGGGCACTTTGACACACAGGCTATCAATTACCTGATCGATCTCCTGCTCAAACCACCAAAATCCCAACAGCTCTGAGTTCCAAACTCCTTAAGAGTGGTGTGTTAAGATGAACTGAAGGGGGAAAAACCTCTCAAGAAGTAGGCTGTAGCCCATCTCTCCAGCTTTTTCATATATTACATTGCCTTTCTGCCATGAGTAACTCTCTGGATATATACTTAGGTTGTCAGAATAACGTATTCCATTCAGCTTGGAAAAATTAAGATCGGAAAGAATCCATAAAGAGATGAAAAGAAATTTGAGAGAAAAGATGAGATGGAACTTTCATTGAAAGTTAGAATATATACTATTATAGCCCTCTCTGGACTCATCTGCAAGTCTGAACATGTAGCTTTTAAGACTCCTGCATTTTGAGGATGCATGTAAAGGCAGAGAAATTATTTTGGAACTATTAATAAGGAAGATGTGTATGGATGTTCAGTTAGCATTTATTGTATTCAACACCAACCTTTCCAATATAAAGAGGTTCCAGTCCAGTGTACTCTTCCAGGACGAAGAACTGATTCCACACCCAACCTCGTTTGACTCTTTGCAGTATTGCTGAGTCTCCGTTTTTTCCCTCCACTCCTAGTTTACCATGGAGGATGTCAGGCAGAAGGATCAAAATGCCAACGGTCAGAGGGAGAAATGTGCTTGTAACAGCTGGAAGATGAAGTCGGACTCCCATTGCGAAACACAGAGCTGGATCTTTAAAGACTTTTCTTCTATCTTCACAAGTACTTATGTCCCAATTCCCGTCTCTCTAAGTGCTGCAGGAGTCTAGAAGAAAAGAAACAAAAGGGAAAATGAGTGAGCTTTACTGTATGTCCATGTGGACTTCAGTATCGTTGTGTAGCACACTGTTGCATCTTTGGAAATATGAGATTGGCAAATTCAGGCTTCTCAATTCTGCTTCAACTGCTCCCAGGTAAATAACAGGGTTTTTTCTTTGGCTAACAATAAAGTCATGCAGAATAGGAGGCAATGTGGAATGCAATAAAAGACACATTTACCTCCACCTTTCTATTAGCATTTCAAAAGAGAGGGAAATGGACGCTTTGTGAGAGTCTTGCTTTGGGTGCACATCACGTTACTTTCTGACACAAATGGTGCTGCTGTACAACTGTAAATAGTTCCACTTATGCGAAGGGGACACAATTTGGACCAAATACGCAGCTATTCATGGATCATTTTCGGAAAGCAGCTTATTTTTTTCCTGTTCAAAAAGTACAATTCATTGAAAAACGTTTTTCCTATCCTTCTTTGTGTTGTACTGTCATGGATCATACTGAAGAAACAGCCTCAAGTAAACAAAACAGGTAATGGCCCATGCTCTGGCATAACAAGAAAAACATCCCTGGCTTATCTTGTCTCACGGCAACACTGCAAGAACTTTCTCAGAATATTCCCTATGAAAAAGTTGTTACCAGTAGTCTCAAACTGCATGTGGACAATGGGCTCAACCACATAGAAAATAAATCTTTTTAAGAGTACCCGTGGGATACAGAAAAAGCCTTAGAGTCACCATCCTACATCCATTTGAAAAGAATAACAACAACAATGAAAGTTACCGTAGAAATTATCATGAAAATGTCAATAGTTTGAAAAAAAATGTAAATCATGCTGGATATAGTTCATAAATGTTGCTCATTTGATGTGTTACTTGTCCAAAAAGATCGATGGAATACACATTCAAACAACACAGTTAACTCATAGCTAAACGTGAAAGGGTAAAATATAAATGAACCGTGCCTGGCATTGAGAGGATGGACATAGGATTGCTGTTGTGAATTAAGGGCAAGGTATATAAGAAAATACCTGTGCAAATATTTCAATTCAATATTCTTTTTCCATTTAGCGGCATATTTATATCTACTGCATTGTATTCATTTTGAATATTAGGGAGTATGTTGGCTGCATTGGTCATGAAAACAAAGTGGAGAAAACCAATATTCCAATAACTCACCAGATCGCAGTCATTAAAAATCCTCATACAGGAATGGTTAAGGCTATCAAATGATTTCAGTTGCCAAAGCCGCATTTGCATGTGGATAATGTAATGTAGAAATAAGCATTAAAAAAATATCTGCATAGCTCCAGGATCGATGTTCAATGATAATGTTCATACGTGGTTAAAGGCCAGCTTTGCATGGTTTGCAATCTGTGATTTTAGACTTCACATCACGGAACTACAGCCTGCATAAAATGCATAATGTTGATCATATACTAAATTGTTTTAAAGTCAATAAGGGTCTTCTGAACCTGAATATATCTAAATCATCAGGATTTAAAAAGCATGGTCAAGAGCTGAAATCCCAGCTTCAAATAAAAGTTAATATGATGTCACATTTCAGGGCCCAAAGGAAAAATAAAAAGTGTAAAAGCTGTCCCTTCCCTTCCAATTTTGGTCAATCGGGTTCCTCATATTGGAAAAAAATTAAGTTAAGGCAGACTCTTTTCCTTGGTTCTCCTGTAAATGTAATGACGTGATGTGAGCTCCTTCACACTTTCTGTAATTGGCCGGGGGGGTGTGATGTTCTGAGATTGTAGTGTTTCTATCAACACTCTTGCTCAGCTTTACTTACACCATGTTCAACGAGCTCCTTTCAGTGCTGCACATCACTCATTACAAGAATACTGTGTTCGATTCTGAAAGCCCCTATGGGCTTTCTAGGATTTCTTTCCTCAAAACACTATATTCTTCTTCATGACTCTTTTTCGTATCAAAGGGATCTTTAATATTAGCAAGGTCAATTTAATCAATTTTTGTTCGAGATGCTTTTTAAAATATTGATTTGAGTTGATCGATATTTTTCCACATGCGGTGCATACTGCATACGCTGCCTTCCTACATCTGCAACTTGTTTTTATTTATCAGTGGGACGGCTCCATCTTCTTTCTCTTCTTGCATTAATGAGCTCGGGGAAAAATAGGCAGATTTGTGGTCAGGATGAATAAAGAAAGCCATAGAGGCAAAAGAAAAGGGAAAAGGCTGCCAGCAGCAGGGAAGAAAAGTTTGGTGCTACACAAAATAGAAAAAGTAAAAAAAACACCAAAAGAATAAAGAGACTGTTTGACTCATGGCTTGACTCCATTATGCTTTGTAAAAGAGAAAGCTTTCTATGCTGTAGAGACTCTGAATCACCAAACTCAGTTAATCATTGTTGAGGGGGCACAAAAAGCCAGGAAGGCTGGGAGGCACGGCTCTATTGTCAGCCAGAGTTTGGTCCGACTTTGTGTGTGCACGACTCTGTGCGTTTGTTAAGAAAACTTGCCAAGGTTCGCTTAGCAGGATGGCTGACACTTGACCTGGCTGCTCCCCTCTTTTCAGCCTATTCAAGCTGCCTGCTTACCATTATGAAGTAAAATTAGCTCCCCGTTCTCCGCTCACATACCACCGGTCTGCCCTCTCAGCTCCTCCCCTTAAAAGGTTACAACCTGCACCAAAGCCATTTTGCTCCATTTTGTTGTGCCTAATGAGGTGACATGCTAAGTAATTGTGTGAGCAAAACATTTCACACGTCTTTTCTTCTGCTAATCGTATGGTATTCCACTTGTTTAAGGAAACAGCTGCCTGTGATTGCCACACAGGCTGTGAGCAGCGGAGAGAAGGGATTGGAAGTTGAAGAGATGAGGAGCAAGGCAGAGGGTGGAGAAGCAATCATATGAAAAAGCTTTGCCAGACTTAAGACAAAGAGGTATTTTCCCACTGGGATGAAACGTTCCTTGTAGCTGAAAAATTCTGCGCTTGTATTCAAAAGAAGAAAACAACACAATGTCGCAAGGTAAAATGGGTAAAGTTAAAATGGGATAGGAAGCACAGAAATATCCAATTTGTCCAACATGCGTTTTGAAATACGAAAATTCTCTGACAGGAGAGGCGTTTGGAGTCAGAAATTGACTGACAGCAGAAGAGAGTGTGATTGTCTGAGGGAGCAGCTGGCATTTGAGACGGATGGGCCATATTGTTGTATCATCGTACCACGAGTCAACCTGCTGCTCCATTAACCGCCGTCTGACAATAACAGACTAAATCAAACTCTTGCTTGCCGAGGTAGGGGAAGGCTCCTTTCTTTCAGATTGACAAAAACAAACACCATGTAACTGCCATGCTGTGACAGACGGACAGAATCTGGCCAGCTCAAAAAGTTTCAGCTCCTCTGTAAATCTAAAGAAAATGTTTGATTCCTCTGCTCGGGACTCAAGAAAAGAAATGGTGTTAGTTAAGCGTCAGAGTTGATATACTCTTTTTAAGCTTTTGTCTTGTTAGAGGCTCATTGCTGGTGCTGTGTTCCTGGACACTCAGCAACTAGAAATGGTACCACTGGCCCAGCTTCATTCATCACATACACAGTAACTACTGACAACATTAAAGCGAGTGAAAAGGAGAGCTGAACAGCACAAACATCAGGGAGTGTGAAATAGGAAAAATAACTGAACCAACACTCTGCATTCATACTGTCAGTTTGTTCTGTTTGGCTTGAGTAGACAGAAGTTGTCCTGCCTGTACTGTACAACAGTACAGCTGAATAAAACCCACTCTCATTCGCATGTGTTTCTGTTTATTTTGTTACTGTTCAATCCTGACTTTAAGACTGCATTAAAAACTAAAAAAATCACGCACTTAGAGAGACTAAAATACCCAATATGGCAAAAATTCACTTACATAATGACAAAAGAAACAAGCCTTTAAATTACAGCAGAGTTCATAAATGGTCTGTAATAGTATGTGCTGAAATGTACCTGATATCACCAATTCAATATCCTTTAACATGTCAAATGTTTTCAAATTGAGCAAACCTGTCATGTCATACATTTAGTGAATACATCTTTTTTTCATAAGCTGTTAAAGAAAATGATTTTGCCAGAAAGAATCTTAAAATCTTCAAGACATTGTACAAGGTCTGATGGACTTACAATCTCTGCACCCAGCTAAAAACGATAATTAATACATACAGTCTTCATCATAATTTTCTTCCATTTCTTATCTAAATTAAAAGTCACTGCACTTGATTAGAATAACAATATTGCAGTTAAGATTATGTATTGTTAAAGTTTAGATTGGTTGTTGGACAGAAATAGTTAATAGCTTTACATTTTGACCAAAAAAAGCCAAATGGGGAAATGAGAAAGGTACTTGGAGTTGATTTGAAGTCTGAAGGGCCTGCGTGTTGTGTTGCACATGAGTAGTAGTTTGCATGGTTTAAGATCGATGTGTAGCTTCATTGAGTGTTAATTTCACAGTGGCCGTGTCCGTGTCTCACTCGAGTCTTGTTTAAAAAGAGGCCCCCCAGAATGTGGAATGGGACTTTAAAAATGGGTGGATCCATGAAAACGGGACCCACCCATCCCAGCAGGGCCGGACGTCACGGCCAATTTGTTAACCAGGATTGATTTTGCATGGTGGGCTCTGTATCTCGAACCATGCACTCTTTTACATGGAATAGCTCCGGGATGAGAGAGTATCATTGAGCACAATAAGCAGCAACTCTAACTTCACTTACCAGGCTGAGTTGCTAATGTGAGCTGCTTCTTCCCTCTATGTGGGGTAGTTTTACTTATTAACACGTAATCAGAGTGCCCTCTGAGGGTTGTTTTCCTGGGCAAACCTTTTGATAAGCAGGTTGTTCTCCCAGCGTGACCTCTGCTGGGTTCAGTAGGTGTGTGGATAAAATAACCAGTGGCTGT